CGTTTTCCTCACTTCGTGTGTCCGACATCGTTTGCTCCACTTGCTGCCGCCGGCCTGAAAGGATGAAATCGACGAAAACTAGACAATCGTAAAACCTAACGAATATGCTGCGACTTTTTACTGTAGCTTCTATGCAAATTAAATTTGGCCCAGGTGGAAGTGCAATCAGATATATATTTACACAAAAATTTCATTTCCATACACACACGTCAAGGAAACTCCACTTATAATTGTGATCAGACCATGACTGCATTTATAATAATTAGTGGCGCGCAAGTGCACACGGTTTGATGCACAAATCTGTGTGCAATGTGTGTGCATATCTAATACGTATCGCATGATATTCAGTTCGCATGCAAAGTAATTTCATAACAGCAAGGTGGTGTGTTTGAATGAAAAGCCTTCTCTCCTAACATTTCCGACTCGGATGCGCGCCGAATTTGTGTAGCTTGAATTAAATGAAACGAAACACTGCACCAAAATCGTAAACAAACAACCAATTAATATTGTTAGATTAATTTGTTGTGCAAATCCGGGATCTATAAAACAAGTGGATACATCGTCGATCTAATTATTAATTCAACTACTCCCGGATTGGTGGACAGCTGTGTTTGAATAGAATACCAAGTGTTCCTGGAAGAATTAATCTCAATTCCTGACAGAAAGCTCAACACTGCAATTTGTGATAGGATAATTTATCACAAGGGTTCACGGACTAGACAAAAATATTGGTTTGAAAATCGAACAGGACTTTAAAAACTGAGACCGGCGAAGATTAAGTGCAGTATAACACGAGCAATCGATTAGATTGGAAAGAAAGGTGTATATCGTTGATTGGAGGATGGCAATAAACCATTCCATTTTCACCGTCCTTATATTTCTACGCTCGATAGGTAGATATGTGGCGGCACAAACTAGAAGTTATAGAGCGGTGTGTGCGTCGGCGGGCGATGAATGAGAGCAGCTAGGTGGGACCCGAGGGAGATGGCCGGTGAGACCGACCACAGTCCATCCATGCCGTCGGATGGCTCCCGGAGGACGTCTACTTCTTAGGCACCATCGCAAAATAACGCAGATTAATTATAGCTGTCATCCTCTGTTATTTCAATATGGATAAACGATATTTAACAATTAAAGCTGACAGATGCTCTTGATTCTATTTCGTTTCTAATGAACCACCGACCAAATTAGGTACACCTCATTTGATGACATTTTTGTTCACACCTTGTTTACAACTAATCGGAGACTATGGGTAACAAATGATGAAGGATAGAAGTTTGGTTTTAAACAGATGAAGAGTTACGTTTGTGGTGTGGTAGTGATGGGTTGGTGGATTAGCCACCCGGTGTCAGTCGGCAAATTGAGATGAAAGCGTGAAGGGACGTGGGAGAGTCCGCGCGGGAGAGCCTTGGTGCGCTTCGAACGGGTCGCCCTTTCAATCTGCGCTTCATAAAGCTGTTGTAAGTCAGTCAACAGACGTCTTCAACACCCCTGGTGTTTGGGCTGTTCACTCTTGCCCACGAATGCACTAGCATAACCGCAAAACGACCACGAAGAAAATTGTAAGCGGGAAATGAAGAGGAAGCGAGAGAGCTTGCTACTCGGGTGGAACAAGACTAATGATCTTCGGTGCTGCAGCGATGATGCTCTCTAATATGTTATGAATTATGCAAACTTGTTTTGCTAACGATTACATCGAAAACGACAGTAATCGAGCTTCATCTTTTTTAAACGCTCAATTAAATGTTTATTTATTATCTAAAACTGTATCAGAAGTGATCCCAGAAAAATTTAAAACATCTGGTATATTGCACAGTAGTAAACCGTCGAAGCTAGAAAGCTCATTTCATCAATGCGGAGATTTTCAGAAAAAAAATTGCATTCCAAAAAAGTTCTCGCTGAAAAGTGGAAAATCTGATTAAATTTTGTCGACTCTCTCTACACGTGAAAGGGTGCACAATTGGTGTTGAAGGAGTGTTGCTTTCGAGTAGTTGGTCGAGGCATAGCAAGTTGACGTGACTCCGCCACTCTTCGAATTGACCTGTTATCGCCAACGCAGATGTATATGCGAGCGCGCGGCGACGAGGAAAATTGGCTGCTTTATTCTGGAGCGTCGCTCGGACGTCGGCGTCGACTTGTGGCCGCGCGGAAGCCGCACGCTTTCTGGCGCATCACTCGTACCCGAGTCCACTCTTCTGCAGATTGAATTCGACCACTTCACCTCCATTCTAAGAAGGGTTCCCAGTCTCCGGGCGAGCCTTACAGCTTGTCGGGGCCCTTTCAGTGCACACGTCGCGCATTACAATCGCGCAATTCGCACCAATGTTTGTAATTTCATGTTCGTCCTGACAGGCATTAAAATGTTTACCGGCGACCTCTGACTTGAAAATTGTGTATGTTAATCGAATTCTGTTATTCAGCACGTGAATTACCTGAATATTTTTCCTGTCGATAGTAAAGTTAAAAGGAAGCAAAAGAAAAGATACCTTTTATAAAAGCGTATCATCCATCCAGCGGCTACTGAGCGATTAATGCGACTAAGTCGACGCTGACAATAACTTTTCATGTGTTGTCACCGCGTGGTGGGTTATGTGGTGATGTCTGGTTTGAAGGGCGGCTTTATGGCACACCGTCCCGAAGTGCTTTTACGTTGACTTGATGCGGTTGCAGTTTACGAGCGGGCTTTTCGTCGACGTCGTCCTGCGGATGGCCGGAGGGCGCTGATGATGGCCGATCGCAGGTGTTGAATGGTCGGATGCCATTAACGGCGCGTCGTTTCTTCGCCCGAGAGTACCGTTTTACTTATGTAGGATACCCTCGCGTAAACACATGAATGCGCCGTCACGACGACGAAGACGTGCCGCGCCGCGTTTATTTATTAAGATTAACCAGCCATCAAAAATGAAATACGCTAATGACATTTTCATATGCATAATTTATCGGGGCGGTTTTCCTCGCAACCGAGTTGAAAATTATGAGAGGAAAATTTCGGTTTAATGCTGCCGCAGTTGCAGTTGGTGTGCTCTCGAATTTGATAAGTGGTTAAGCACAGCGCGTGTGATATCCGACGCGAACACATTTGACGTCCGCTCATTCATGTGGCAAGCGCAGAGAACGCAAAATGATAATTAGAAAAACCGCAACGCGCAAACAGCGCATTTACTGGCGTCATCGCGGATGCGACGACGTGATGCGATTGTTCGTGTCGTTTTTGGTTAATTTTGTGGAGCAATGTCGCGGGCATAACGAAATTAGCCAACAAAATATACGCATAGCTTCGACAATCTAACCGAGCGTTTGACAAGAAAAAGCGTCTGGTCGGGAGGGTGACAATTGCACGCCAACATGCGTCCCGCAATCCCCCGGGACACTGGTGGCACTATGGAATGTTTGTGGTCGCGAATACCAATCCGGTCTAACCAGGTAGAAACACGTTCGGTGTGCTAGAAGTCAACGCTGAAGATGTCTTTCTAGCGGCGGTGATAGCATATCAACTGACTTGGATGCCAATGACGCCGACGTCGACGAAGGTGGCGGCGGCGTCGAGGCATGCAATTCGCGTCGGTACACTAGTCGCCTCGCTCTCGGGCTTTTGGAATACATTGCGCACGGTGGGACCCAGCGCTCGGGTTTTCCATGCTGTAAAACGTCGTCGACGTTTCGCAAACCGTCGGCAACAGGTCGCAGCCCGGATGCACTGTTTGCGCAATCATCCATCAATGTTCCGAATGTCGGGCCTCAGCGCTTGCTGCCTTGTGCTACGCTCCCGCGCCTGGAACGCCAACCAGGCATACGCACACGCCGGGAGAGCGAACACGGGGCGCGAACGCCCGCCCGCGCTTCGGAGCGGATGCGAATTTACTACGTATTTGAGTGTTTGTATTGTTGGATCAGTGACTCGTGTCGGTGCTCCATTTATCAGATTTAACACAGCTTTTTGAATTCTCGACCACTTTATAAAACACTCGTCTCGTCGTCACTCCAAGCGCCCTTCTTCTCTTTTCACCGTGCAACATGTCAATGTGTAAGTACTTATTATGCGACAATCCTTTTATCCTCGCACTTATTCAAAGCCGAAAGGTCAATATTTAAACATCGCTAGCAAATGGCATTACTATCTCAAACATCTGTACATAATGCACTAAATTTTCTATAAACTTAAGATTAAATTGTGGCTTTTAGATCATTTTAAAACTTTGGCTTCCATTTCAGTTTGCATTCGAATAAGTTAACTAGACATTGCCGTAATTTCTTTCCATTCGTGTCGGTTTTCCTGCTTAGTGCGCAAAGAGAAAAGAACGCGAAGGTCGTAAACAAGCATCTAAAGAGAAACCAGCGAGCACGGAATCGTGGATTTGCGCGTGAACAATGGGGCACGATGCGTCGTCGCGCTCTCGGTGCGCACTCCTTCTGAACGCGCCAAAAACGGTAATCTGGCCAAAGTTATTAGTCCGGCAATTAAAAGGCTTTGCTTATATTATAGTCGGGCGGGGTTTGTGCCGTCAAGCGTTCGTCGCCGTCTATATTTCGGAAAGGCTTTCGCTCCTGTGGCACATTCGCGCACGCCGCCGTATTACCACTGTCGCTCGTCTCACGTACGGAGGCGGCGAGCAACGTCGGGCGCGCTTCACTCGGCTGCTTTGGCGGCTGCCAAGCGTCGTGCCGAACGACGCCGACTTAGCCGCAGTCAAACGTCCTAGGAGACATTAGGACTAAACTGGGAATATATTACGGGCCACCCTTTCCCGGCTACAATATACATAAATTAAGTTGATATCTCCTTAATACGCTTCTCTCGCTGCCACATACCCTCATTTCGCCATCAAGTACAACGACTTTATGGAGACGTACGACGACTGAGATTAATCTGGATGGCAGCGAATTGCAGATCGGCGGATGGTACCTAGGCTGCACGTTTGCACATGAGCCGAACGAAGATTTACCAATTTCCAACCAAGTTCGTAAATTTTAGGGGATGAACGGCATGTTGTCCCAATACATTATTTCAAACTAAACCAACAGTTTTATTGAACCAATATCTCAAAATTTACTCAACACTCAACATCTAAATAATATACACCTTCGGCAGAATCAGAAACGTGGTAACCCATCAGAGCATTTGGATTGGAATAACATTGTCCAGCTTTAAACTTATTGTAATTCTCACATTGGTAACCGACATTGAAGCAAATATCATTTATACTGCAAAAGAAATACAAAGCTGAAGCAAGATGATTCGATATGTACTGTTTGCCACATTCTCCTTGAGAGGTACCACCATTCGGATAAAAATCTACATGTCCCAATACAGCCTGACTTCCAAGTAAGGAAGTATGAATCACAACCACTCTTTCAGCATCATTTTTAGTTAATCGTTGATTAGCATTTAACTTTAGTGGAGGAATTAAAGGTGCAGCAGGGTCTAATGCAAATATCCTTCTTATTTTATAACCACTTTCGCTATATACCTTTTTCCCTGTTATGCCAGCAATGTGAGCTCCGAGACTATGACCTACAAATTCTATGTTGGACATAGGGACTCCAATGGATCTCATGTACAGTACGAGGCTGCTAACTTGTTCAGCAAGTGCATCAAGAAGTAGAACTGATCCTACATACAATTTACAATTCATTGCTTCTTCATAACCGACAGCGATAATGATTGTATCATCATGTGATGTAAACTCTTGAATGGTTTTGTTATACCAGTCTATTTGAAATCCATCTACCCATCCATGGGTTAGTATTATATATTTTTTAGTTGTGTCAAAAGTAACTTCTGAATAAGAATTCAAATTGAATTGATGATAGGCAAGATTATTGGGATAAAATATTCTGTAATCTACTTGAACGTTGAAGAAATCTGTAAAAGCGGAGATTATATAATATTTTTATTAAATCAATTCTGTTAGGCTTACTTGTCAATGGAGCAGAACCAAAGAAAACACTCCATATCGCACATATGTTCAGAATCATTTTAAAATGTTTTTTTAGATTTTGCCAAATGCAAATTACATACTCAAGTAGTTATTTATTTTGTTGCTAATATGACAGTGGCCCACATCAGAATGGTAGGCAGTGTATTTAAAAACCATTCCTAAGCCGCAAATAAAGCTGTAATCATAATTTAGTACTTTATATTCTGACATAGCACTTTTTTATCGCTTTAGATTAACTTATAATGTTGCACAAATAACATTCATTAACATACCTCATTGTCATTCATGTTCTTATATAGCTTAAGTTATATTTTAAACAAACAAAATACATTACACAACTTTATGATTTCAGTAAATCTAAAGACAGTTAGGTACTAAATAATACGCTCCTGGTGGTGCATTGTCCAGTGCTCCATAGCCCATTGGATTGCTTGGATTGCTATCACATTTATGATTAATATAATTCACAAAATTATCACAGATCTTGCCAATGAACTGATTCCTAAGAATACTCTCAATAAAATAATACGTAGAAGTATAATGATCTCCAAAATGTAATAATCCACAAAATCCTTGAGTAATTCCATCATTTGGGTAGAAATCAAAGTAAGCTACTCGATTCCGAACTCCTACTACCGATGTGTGGATAGCAATAGTTCGATAAGCAGCATCTTCGTGGAGACCATTCGTGGTACCTTCGTAGCCAGGACCCGCGGGATCCAAGCCAAATATTCGATATACAAGAACACCATGTGCTTTGGTATAAAACCCAACTTCACCTACAACCTGCCCACCAAGAGAAGCACCAACAACTTCAAATTGAAAAGCTGGTATACTTTTCACTTGATTGAGACCTATGATAAGGTCACCAATTTGTGATGCAATAATCGGAACATTATTTTCTGCATCCGGAATTAATAGACCGTTGACTGCATCCTTATAATCAGTAGTAATGACGACATAGTTGGATTTTTGCATGAAAGCATTAATGATCTGTTGGTACCATGCGTTGGTAGAATCTTCTTGGTAGCCATGACAAAGAATTACATAACGAAAATCTGGATTGTATTCAATGTTTCCATAGTCTGAAGTACTTATTGGAGTCGCGGGGTTTTGATTACTGTAAAGCCAGAACCTCACATTAACGTCGGCTTGAATTAGATACGGTGTTAATGAACCAAGAAATAAAAGTTTAAGCAACATGTCAATGCAGTAGTTTTAAAACACCACAAGTTCTATAATTTGATATGGTTTACTTTATATATAACTGCTTGTATTGCATTATATACATATTTGTGCAATTTATTATTGCAACATTTTGTTTTGACCATAATAACAACAACAATCGCAAACCCGTTATTTTTAATAATATATAAAAATAATACGCAACTATATAATTTCAGTAAATCTAAAGGCAATTAGGTACTAAATAATACGCTCCTGGTGGTGGACTGTCCAGTGCTCCATAACCCATTCCATTGCTTGGATTGCTATCACATTGATGATTAATATAGTTCACAAAATTGTCACAGATCTTGCCGAAAAACTGGTTTCCATAAAGGCTTTGTATGAAGTAATACGTAGCAGCATAATGATCTCCATAATGTATTGCTGAACAAGATCCTTGATTAATCCCATCATTTGGATAGAAATCAAAGTAGGCCACTCGATTCCTAATACCTATTACGGATGTATGGATTGCAATAGTTCGATAAGCAGCATCTTTTTGGAGACCATTTGTGGTACCCTCAAAACCTGCACCAACAGGATCCAAGCCAAATATTCGATACAAAAGAACACCACGTTCTTTGACATAAAACCCAACTTCACCAGCAACCTGTCCACCAAGAGAAGCACCAACAACTTCAAGTTGAAAAGCTGGTATACCCTTCACTTGAATAAGACCAATGACAAAGTCACCAATTTGTGAAGCAATAATCGGAACGTTATTAACTGCATCCGGAATTAATAGACCGTTGACTGCATTCTTATAATCAGTAGTAATAACAACGTAGTTAGGTTTTTGCATGAAACCATTAATGACGTCTAGGTACCATGTATTGCTGGAATCTTCTTGGTAGCCATGACAAAGAATTACATAACGAAAGTTTGGATTATATTCAAAGTTTCCATAGTCTGAAGTACTTATTGGAATCGGTGGATTTTGATTGCTGTAGAGGAAAAACTTCACATTAACGTCACCTTGAATTAGATACGGTGTTAATGAACCAAGAAATAAAAGTTTAAGCAACATGTCTATCAACACTAAATTCTATAATTTGATACTATATACTTTATATACGTATAGCTGCTTATTTGCATTATATATATATATATATATATAAGGGTATATACATATTTGTGCAATTTATTATTGCAACATTTTGTTTTGATAACAATAACAACAACAATCACAGACCGTTGTTTTTTTAATAATATTTAAGCAATAACAAGATAAAAACCAAACAATTAAATAAATGATTATAAACAATATATAAATTGCTTCAAATATGTTAACAATCTGGGCTTAGATAATAGCTGCCTTCTTTTACATCATTATTCAGCCAATAACCCATCGATGCACTATACTGTTTCTCACAGTCTCCGAAAAGGAAAGACCAATAATCATCGCATAAGTAACCAATGAATTTATCACAATCTCCATTAATACTACATGTAAAGTACCAATATGCAATGGTGTGATCCCCGCCATGTTCGTCACCACAACTTCCTTGCGATATCCCATCATACGGGTAAAAGTCCAAATGTCCTCTTGGTTCCGACAGCCCAATTATCGATGTGTGAATTACAATAGTTCGCAAGGCATCGTCTTTTTTCAAGCCTAAAGGTGGATCCGTAAAACCTGGTGCAGCAGGATCCAGACCAAATATTCGAAAACATTTAGAACGTACCTTGTGTTTTACATAGCTACAGGCTTTTCCTGCAATATGTGCTCCTAGAGAGTGACCAACAACTTCAAATCGTGTAGTTGGAACATTTTTTTGGGTATGGATGGTTTCAATCAGATGGCCGACTTGTTCACCAATCAACGGTACTTTTTCCAAATCAGGGAAGTATAATAAATCGCTTAAAGCATCTCCGTAGCCAGCCCTTATTACAACATATTGCGGATGTTTCATGAAAGCTTCTGTAGTTGTTGCAAAAGCAGGATCGTCAATACAAGCTTGCCAGCCATGCAATAAAATAATATACTTCAAGGTGGGTTTGTATGAAAATGGACCCAAATTCGTCGGACTAATGGATATGTAATTTGTGGCATCTTGATTTGCAAATAGACGATATTCAACTGTGATGTTTTCAGCACTTCCCAAATGAAACAAGAAAGAAATTACAAAGTGTAACGAACAGATATGTAGCACTTGTTTCATTTTTACATACTTTAGCAAAAATATTAATTAAGCTAGACAATAACTTTTATAGAATCAAAACCAAATATTTTGAATACTTATCTTTTATTTTTGCTCAAATAACATATAAATATTGTTAACACATCAAATAATAACAATATAGGTACATATATTTCTTAAAAGCCTAGTCTGGTTGCATTAATAATTTTTTTTGTATTATGAATCCAATAAATAAATCAAGAAAGGGTTGGTACGTTCCGTCATTCATCATGCAAGCTCGACCGACGAAGAATAACGAAGAATAAACCGAAAAGAATAAAGAAGTCCGCGCGCGGACGAAGGCATAAACGTTACAGATACAATCTGAGAAATCAAATTTATTTCGTATAGATAGATTGTGACCGTATAAAAACGATAGCAAGCGCGTTGCGCCGAGGCAAAAAGCAAAGACGCAAACGTGCAACGATGTTGGCAAGGCGGTAGTGCGATAGGTCCGTGAAGATGGCAGCGGTCGGGCATTGGTCGGTGAGAGAGCGCACAGTTCGAGATTTATAAATAGCATTATAAGTAATTTATGTCCGTTGCGATTGGGCGTTCTTCTTTTTGACATTTACGAGATTTATGTTAACAGAGTGATGGGAGGTGCACATTGTTCAGTGTTTCGTATCAAGCAAGACGCGCGACGATCAGACGGCACGCAGTCCGCGAGGTCGGACCTGTTTCAATCAATGCAGCAAGGAATTGTATTTAGTTGACAGCATGCCCAAGGAATATTGGCAATAATTTTAATCATTGAATTGTATATGAAAAATGGTGCAGTTGGCATTGTTGGTAAATTTTTATGGATAATTGCATGTAGCACATTGTCTCGAGCGTTGCTGAGAAGTCAACTTGGTTTGACACTCGTCATTGTCTATTATCCGCTAAGGAAATATCACAATGAACGACAGTGCCATTGCGGAGCGATGCAGAATGCCATGTGACATCACAACATTGAGGAACGAGCACTACCTGTACCTGCACTTTGCAATACCAATAGTAATTGTTTTGATGTTGATGCTTTAGTCATACAACATGTTTACAGAGTCTCACATTTCTATTTCACATAAAATAAACAAATACGTATTAATGTAGAAAGGTATTTTAAATAATAAAACGAATTTTTAATTGATTAATTAAATACGAAGAATTTCTCTCATCGAATTTATTTCGTATAGAATTTAAACAGAAACAGGTAGTAGACATGTGAATACCTGAGATGTGTGAGCGTTTGTGTATAGGTGGAGAACAAGAAGACGAAATAAGTCGGTTTGCTCGGCGCATTTAATGCAGTTGCAGGCGCATTACGCGAGTTAGTATATTGACGGCGACAAGTCTGCAGTCGGGGCCGAATTGACGTCGAGCGCGCGTCTCGCGACGACGACGCACAGCCGAACATATCAGTTTCCAATGGCGCGACTTGTCGCTGTGAGACGAGATGCTTACCACCAGGACGCAGCGAGACGAAGACGCTCACGCTCGGGGCCCGTCGTTAACGTGAATGATGCAGGGAAGTTCAACTCCGCCAATTGTGAATAGACAAATACAATGTACATCAAGCATGGCATACGCTAACATGCCAACTAACTGGTTGTATCACAGAACCACCTAATTCATTATCATTTTAATATTTTTATAGGTAACACACAAACACTGCGCACAAATTAATCTCTCAAATTTATGTTCTTCAACGTAGATTTTTTTAAAGCATTGAATCTGTGTTGTTCAAAGGAGATTTATTCCTGGCGCCTCCACCACAATTAGATTTTTAACAGTCTGTATGTTTGACGAGGACGAGACGAGATGTGACGGCCTTAGTAAAACTGTAAGACGGCCGGAGAAGTCTCGCGATGGGCGCGCGAGTACATGGCGAATGACTGGATGCGAAGAGGATAGATGGGTTGTGATGGTAAGAGAGAACAGCAAAGGGAAATTCAAAGGTGGCTGTCACGTCAAGTTAGCGAACTATGTTTGGCTAAAAACGGAGATGTAATGCAACAAGGCGACGTGTTCGGATATGATGATGCATTCGGATCCGTTGTCTTCTCTTGCGCGAAATACCCCGCTTGACGAGAAGGCATTACCAATGCTATTACGACGCCAGCCGACGTAACATAAGTCACGTTGAAATGTCGACTGTTAAACCAGCACCCCAACGTTTTTACCTTGTTTATCAGCTCAACGAATTTATATAATTTTTATATAAACATTACATCTTGTCAAGTGAAACTTTGTATCAACTTTGAAATATAATATCATCGGTTAACACTTGCACTGCATTTAAGTGACATAGATTTCATTTGAAGCTAAAATTGTGTGCGTGTGTGTGTGGTTCTATGAATTGGCAAGTCAATGGTTCTGCACTGTTGCATACACTTAACGCCAAACGTCGACAATATTTAAATCGGATTTTTACACTCGTTGCAAATGCACTTGCCGGCGGGTCCGCTTGGCAGATTTTGCAAAAACCGACGAAGCGATTTTCCTTTCGAATTTGCAACATCAAGACGTCTGTCAGTCAGTCTCACAGGGACGCGTTTCATTCACGCGTTCACAGCGCACGAAATGTCAACATCTTTGCGAGCCAAGTTGATTTTTTCCGCGCAAAACACGCCATATGACCATTCGCTCACGTCTGCAACATTTCAAACTGCAAAAGCTGTTCCAGTCTGTTGATAATGCACCGGCAATTACTCACTTAGCGCGTCTCATTTGTAACTATTTTAAGAATACGTATAAAATTAGAAAATCGAAGGTAAAATATTCTTTTAATTAAGTTATTTTTACGTAGGTAATTCATTCGTATGTGGTATTTTATACCTAATATAATAAACCGTTTACTCATAATTTACATATCGCGCAATTCTATTATTATGATTGGAAATAAATGAATTTGCAAGGAATGAATTGAAAGGACATAAAACAAAAGTAGTTGTGACAGGGGTTCACATTATGCCCACATGTGCATGTCAGTATTGTGCGTTTCATCAGCACTTTAGCGTCGAACAAATATTTTCACCGTAAATGGTATGCGTGGCTGCAAATGATCCATCCGCGCGCATCGTTTAATAACTTGAACGCATTCAAAAGCGTGTGCACTCTTCGCTCACCGCAGCCGCATTGCTGTAAGTCATCGGGGCATTCACAACAATTCAACACAACAACAATGTGCGACTGCATAGTGCCGCTATCGGTATCGGCCGTGACACGCAGAAGAGAACAACGAATTTCGAATTGAGCCGCTCTGGCATTGAGGTGCACCTCCATTGAACATCGAGAACAAGTTGTCACTCAACGAATCGCTCGTGCATCTCGAACTTATTACGTGCGCACCGCATTCGCTCGCTCTTCTCAATGCAACAAATAAGTTACAGACATCGACGATGTAGACATCCGCATTGAAGTTCGCATTCGCGATGAATGCCCGTGCGGGGCGCGATGCGATCGACACCGAGCTGCGAGGCTACAACAAACAGTCCACGTGACACGTCAATCTCGTCATTATTTTACGTTTTATTATTTATTGTGCTTATTGCGCTCATTGTTCTGGCCTATTATTCTCGCCGGCGCGCGGAGATCTATCGCAAATTGATCAGTGTCTATCTATTACAGTATGAATTATCTGGCGCTCCAACGCTTTAGATCTACTGAGCCATCACGTTTATTTTCCGTTTTAATAATAGTGAGTATTTGGAACTTAGCTTTGCGTTGATTCAATGAGCATGATTTACAACTAAGAGTATTGTGTTATTTTTTAGTTGTGTAACAATGCATCGTGATTCTATCATGATATAAATAGTACCGCTTAAAGATTGATGTCCAATACAAATAAATAAGTCCAATATAATATTTCAACAGATTTATTACAATGAACATGATCTAAACAAGCATTTAGAAATGAAAAACAAAACTACAGCAGTTAATAATTTTGCAATATAGCCATGCTCAAACGAGTTATAATCTCGATAATCCTATCATAATTACTTCATCAACTTTCATTATTTATGTTTTCATTATAGCATAATTTTTTCGATTGCAGATTGCTATTCTTAGCGGCGGTTTAACATGACGCGACACATCTTAACGTCAATGTGTCAGCCTTCGTCATGCTTGTAAAGCCTCGTCAATTGCCCCATCAAATTTTGATTGCTTGATGTTTCTGATAAGACAAATTACATTGTTGATATGTCGGCAGTTGCTATTATTGCGTACAAAAGCTGTAATTAAAGTGGATTTGAGCTTGACGTGCAATTAATATGCATTCCAACAAAACCAAGATTTAAAATAAATTTTCCGGATACTTTGCCTGTAGCTATGGGCAAGTTAAACGTATAAATTCATAAAATTGTTCGACTTGACAGAGCTTATGTTATTTATTCAAGTCTACAACAAATATATGCTCATCATTGAAGGATTGCCTTGCTGGAGTAACGAGTAATCGTACTTACAGTGTGTTTGGGTTAAGACAAAATTAATTATTTTGCTTGAAATTTTAAATTTAAAAACATAAAACATTGTTATTTTTGTGTAAAGTTGGTAGATTTGTTTCTATCTTAATTTTAATGATTATTCTTGATATATTTTTATGTGAATTTTGTCTATGAACGCACTGTTAGATTTCCTCGGACGCTTCACGCGTTTTTTGATTCATTTCCTTTCATCTGCGACGCGGCGATTATTTATTACCCTCTAATTATAGTTCCAAGAGACATAAAATATACCTTCATCCATCGGCATCTTCTGCATCACACACGCCCGGCCGGCTGTCCGATCCGTGAGTCAAAACGCAAAGACTTACGAATCCGGCCGGCCTGTCCGTGCGCCGTCTTCGAATGCGCCAGCAACTCGTTACATTCCCGATGATATTTCTGTGATACGAAAGCCTTTCGCGCGCACCCATGCTTATGATCTCTATACGCGTTCGTGCGCGCACATAATTCACCTAACACTTCACGGCCGGGGCGCATCCTGTGCATCCTTAC